ATTGGATAGAACAGGATACACAGGGTCACTACCTCCTGTTCCGAACTGGAACTAGCACTGCCTTCATCGATTTCAGAATCACTGGCTCCACTTGGTCTGTGGTTGGCTTGCCTCCGCACGGATGAGTCATTCCCTACACCAACTTGATTGTCACTAACGGAAGTCTCGTCCTCTACGTCAAATACCCCATCATCAGACGACGGCAAATCGCCTGTTTCATCCTGGTTTTCTTCTTCACTTTCACCGCCGCTAAGAAGAGAAAGGCTGGATGCGTCACTTCCGTTTGCGTCTTCCTCATTGTTCTTTTTCGCGGTCTCTGAGTCACATGGTTCAGAAGGGCTCTTTGTTAGTCGACGACGCTTTGGGGAGATGCCAAAATTATCATCGGAGTCTAGGATAATAATGACAACAATAATGAAATTGACAGAAGTTAGAATTACAAATTTGGTCCAATTATAGTATGTTAAAGTTTGCATTGTTGGTCGAATGTATAGCAAACTGGGCCGAAAATAAGCGATAGAATTCTGGGAAAATAAATTCCTTATGTGAAAATAAATTCCTTCGATATTTTATGAAAAACGGTCTAAGATATTTTAAAGTTGATGACGGATAAACATAAAATAGCAGAAATCAAAAATGTTTTCACATCCCGCTGCTTAAACCATTCCAAAAATATCAGGTGTAGCAAGTACCACATACCATCAATAAACACATAGCCCGTGCGTATAAAGTTTTCCGACCGAGTGGAGATTCTGTTAAGTTTGGACTGCTCGGCTTTTCTGGAAATATCTGCGACTGATTGCACAAGATTGTAAGTGCCAGCTACCGCGCTGGCATGTGAAAGAAGGCGTGTAAAAGAAGGACGACAGGCCTCGATGTGGGACGACAACTGTGAATGGTGACATATCTCCGTAAGCCAATACAACGCACGTTTGACCCACTCAGGATGCCGGTCACTTGTAACAATTTGAACAAGTATGTCGATTAATTTATTCAAATGTCTTGGACTGGAGGTTAGTCGTGTCAACGTTCGGCGGAGCCATTTTTTATTTGTCCGCTGAATAAAAACCTATAACACGATAAAACATTAAATCAACTATCATATTCGATCCAACCTGATTAAAATTCTCCGAGTTTACAAGGAGACCATCAAGGTCGGCCAGGTCTGACTTTTGAAAATCCTCCTAATTAAAGATCATATTTTTAAGGCATAACAAACCGATGGAAAGGGAACGGTGGGGTGGTCTGATAACATTTTCGGTGACCTAGAACGAGTCGATCGAGACAAACGGAAGCCGATGAGGACACTTGCAAAACACGCGGAGAAGAAACGGGGTGGCGATTAGCGAGACCGGTATTATTGCAGAGCTAAAAAGAACCAAATGCATATGGTAGTGGCGTAACTAAACATTAAATATATGGAATGGGGAGCAACAGCGTGAAAACAGAAGACAGCTAAATGCCAGTGGTTTTGACTAAAGATACAAATGCAGACTCGTGGTTTGAGTATAGACTTTTTTTCAGGTGAATACGGACCGGAATAAATGGTGTAGACCACAAAGACTGCAATCACAGAAAAGTGAGACAAACCGGTGTGCTGAATCCGGATAGTCCGCGTTTTCTTCAGCTAACTTAAATGTACGGTAGTCATGAGTAAGGCGAAGCTCCCAGTACTAGGTTCCCCTATGATCATGTACCTTTGATGAAAGGATTTTGTTAAGGTAAGAAAATTTACTGTTGAAACTAATTATAGCCATTAGTGGACCCGCATGTCATAAGCTATGCAAGTTTTACATAGGCGTTCTACAAATAGAGCAACGCTTTCCACTTGACAGTTTTTTCCAAGATCTGCACCAGAGAGTACGATCTACTGAGTCTTTTTTCTCTCTTACTTAGTAAAATACCTTTTTTGGCAGTTTGCTGAAGATATGCAGCGCTATTCTAAGGAAGGAAGTTAATATATCATCAGCAATGAGCAATCCAGTCAATAAAAAACACGCAGACCCTAATAGCAATGTTCCAGAACCAAAGGATAGGATGGTTCCAGTGGAACCAAAGCATAGAGGCGAAATAGTCCTTGGTCCTACTTCGCCATGATTGCGTATATGGGCGGTATTCCTTGCGCTGACTGGGGAGGTTTCAAGCCGTCATCGAAATCGATGGTCGAACACACACACACACACACACACA